CGTTTTCCCGGCGGGGGGAAAGGGGGGTGGTGAACTTTTTTTCGCGCTCTCAAGAAAAATTCGAAATTTATGAAAATGAGTTATTCATATAGAAAAATAGCTTAACTCTTTGGCAACACAATGGTACAAAAAATCAATGTTCTACAACGTTTCTACAAGAAATTATAGTCATTTATATCAGGTATGGTGGCGGCGATGTAGGTAGCGCGTCTGTTCTAAACCCTATGTTTTTTTTGGAATTTTTTTCCTTGTTTTTATCGCTTTTTTCTTTGCATTATCTTTCTAATATAATAATGATTATTTGACATCATATAAGAGTAGGTGGAGCTTATCAATAGACGTCTAGCCTATCGGGAAGCACCTAGGTACACTCGGCAGTGAATCCCTCTCCAGAGAGTGCCAGGCGAAATCACTTCATTATTACGCTTATATCAGCTTTATATTTTAAACTATACGGCTTATTTATCTATCAGAATTGATCTAATATGATATAAAAATCACTGTAAATAACAAACAACATGTTATATACTCTAGACTGAATAAAATAGGCCATAATATAGCGAGAGTCCACCAGCAATATTTCGATATAAAAAAGTAACTCCTCGTCTCCATGTTGTATTGTTTGGTCTGTGAGTGAGAGAAAAACGATATTTTGAAGAGGATAACTGCACTAGAACATCATTTTAACTAAGAAATACCGAAACAAACGCGATTTTCGCAAAAAAAAAAAAATTTTTTTTTTTTGACGGTAGGCCTCCCGGGCTTTCTAGGCCTAATCTCGGAAGTAACTTATTCACTTATTTCGCGGACCTCAACCATTATTAATGTTGTATTGAAATGATTTTCACAGACAATATAAAACAAAAGTGTGTTTAATTTTTTAATGATGGATTTTTTGGAATATCTCAAATATTTTTTTGATTTTGTGGGGGGGTAAAAGGCAGATATTTTGGGGGAATGCCAAAAATTCTGTCAAATGTATTTTTTTTACCATGATAATAAGATATATTAGATGAAATGGCAAAGTAAAAGATTCGTGCTAGTTGTATTCTAACAGTTGGGATGTCGGAAGTGCCACTCGTAGTGCCAATTTGTCAGGGGGTGCTGCCATATATCAAAATTAGTTATATTTTTTTCTATGTTGTTTGTTGGCCAATCATACTGAAACTATTGTCACATTAAACTTATATGCCACCTCTAAAAGTACACCAAAAATAAAATAAATCGGTTGAAAACAAAAATAAAACAAAAATATATTCCCTCACTCACTGGCCCGGTGGCCTGGTGCTAAGTGTCATATGGCCAAAAAAATGTAACTCCGTTTTTACTGCGATTTTCTCAGATTTTGGTACACAAGACAAGCTTCACTCTTTCTGAAAATATTTATCAAAAATTACCTCAAACAACAACGAGAAAGGCTGATTTACTGGGAAAATGCCTAGTGTTAAACTTTTCCTATATGGGACTACTAAGGTGTTTGGAATGGTGCCGAGAGAACAATGCTTAATTCAATATTCTGTGACCACTTGCTTTAAATGAAACTATCTTTATTTACAAAAAAATAAAGTTTGTTAGTTCTGGAATATGCAAAAAAAAACTGCCCTTACCCCACATAACCCAAATATTTGGAAAATTCCAAAAATTTTCACAGAATATATGAGAAATCATTATTCACAACTTTTGAGTATTATATTCCATTAATTCAGTAATAAAGGGAGAAAGTTAACAATGTTGAATAAGTACTTCCGAGATATCGGGCCCAGACCCCCGGGCCCGGGCCCCCGTCTCAAAAAAAAAAAAAAAAAAAAAACGCGAAAATCGCGTTTGTTTGGGTGAATTTTTTAGAAAATGATGTTCAGTGCAGTTTTCCCCTTTTAAAAACCGTTTTTCTTACTAGAGACTAAAGAAAGGGACATGGAGAGGGTAAAATATATTCGAAAAAAACCCATAATTTTCGTATATTATGGCCTTTTTATTCGCATAGAGTAAAAAAATGTTTGTTGTTTTTTAGAGTGTTTATTTTCATATTAGATCAATTTTGATAGACAAAAAAAGCCGAGAGTTTTATATAAAGCGATAAAGCGAATAAAAGGGGGATCCCGGCTGGGCCCCCGGGAGCAGGAACATGTAGTGTTTTCCCCCTGGGTTTCCCCGGGTTTTCACTAAGTCTGCCGATAAGCTCCAAAATCTTTTTAATTTCCAAATAGTCTTAATATTTGAAAGAAAAATGCAAAAAAAGGCGATAAAAAACAAGAAAAAAAATCCAAAAAAAAGTATGGGGCCCTGACAGACTCGGTCCAAAAACGCCGTAAACCAAACCTGAATAAAATAAACTAAAAATTTCTTGTAGAAACGCGTAAACATTCATTCTGGTCCCAAATTGTTTTGGGCCAAAGATTTTGAGCTTTTTTTTCCAGAAATATATAACTCATACCATTTTTTTTTCGTTTTTTTGGGTGAGCGCCCCGGGGAAAAAATGCCCTACACCCCCCAAAAAGCTCCCGGGGTTTTCACCCCACGGAGGGCCCGGGGTTTGATTCCCGGCGGGGGGGAAAAAATTTCGACATGTTTCCTTACACCTATTTCCTGTTTCCCCAGCAGCAAATAGGGACCTGGGGGGTTAGTCCGGGCTGGTGTGGGGCGCATCCTGGGGGGCAAGAATTTAAAGGGCCCCCAAAGGAAAATAAGTTAACATCCCCCGATACGCACTGACTTTCCTTTGGGGGATCCTGGGGGGCTAACCCCCCGGGGGTTTAAAAATTCCCAAAAAAAAATATTATCTTTTCTTAAACTTGGCATGAAAACACGTGTCTATTAAAGCTAGATTTAAAATAAGATTTCGTTCGGATTTTTAACCCCGGGGGGTTAAACCACCCAGGGGAAAACCCCAAAAAAGTCAGTGCGTCATCGAGGACTGTCTAACTTATTTCCATTGGGGTCCTTAATCTTGTCCCCCAGGATGCGACCCAAACCAGTCAACTAACACCCAGGTACCTATTTGCTGCTAGGTGAACAGGACAACAGGTGTAAAGAAACGTGTCGAAATGTTTCCACCCGCCGGGAATCGAACCCGGACCCTCCGTGTGTGAAGCGGGAGCTTTAGCCACCAGGCCACCGGGCCACGGGTTCGCTCTTTCCCGCCTTGTAAGATGCTTGGTTTTAAAGCTCCTATATTGGGAGAGTATTTTAGGCAAACTTAGGACTAACTTAAGATTTATTAGGCAGTAGCTATATTAGGAATTTTATGTTTACAGTCATTTGGGTGAATGTAAGTGTAAATTAGGGGAAATCATAGATATCGAGAGTAAATCTAATTTGTTATGGATGTGTGCATAATACGAAAAGAGAATAGGTGGTTTTCATATACTAGTTAGCTGATGATGGGGTGTGTTAGGGAGATATGTTTTTTAACGGTAGTTTGAAAATGGTGGTTGAGTCTGCAGTTCTAGAGCTTTCTGGCAGAGAGTTCCAGATTTTAGGCCCTTGTATGTACACTGAATTTTTGAGGAGATTTAGGCGGACACGGGGAATGTCATAGAGATTTTTGTCTGATATTGTGTCTATGGGTCCTGTCGCAACTATCAAGAAAGTATTATTTACAAAGGAACTCCTGTTCCACTCTTGTTCCTTTTTCTTTCATCGACCGCCCATCTTCGGGCATTATTTCTTCTCCGTACTATGTATAATAATTGTACGTATGTGTACCTGTACCTAAATAAACTTACTTAAAGGAAAGCAGAATTCGTTACGGCCTGACTAGTTGTCATCAGCCCTTACAAACCCAACAAGAAGAGACACTCCCTTACCACCATTAACAACTTTACCGAAAAAAACAGACCAAAATAGTGAGATCAGCAAGAAAAAAAGGATGGAGGCAGAGCTGCCGACTGACTATGATGTCATTGTGTTAGGCACAGGTGGGTAGACATCATAAATATGGGCATAATTTATCTGTGTGTAGTTATTCTAGAAGGAATGAAATGTCCCTGGCATCACAATTGTTTTAATATTGGTTTATTCTAGGTTACATACATACACACACATACATTTACATACATGCATACATATACATATGCATACCTACACATTATATAATATATATATATAATATATATATATATTATATATATATATATATATATATATATATATATATATATTATATAGTATGTACTCACCTAATTGTGGTTGCAGGGGTCGAGACTCAGCTCCTGGCCCTGCCTCTTCACTGATTGCTGTGTGTGTGTATGTGTATGTATGTATGTATACAGCTCAGATGAAAATTCACATACACATGAACTATTAAATCTCTGCAACAAATTCACCATAAGCCAGCAAATAGTAGAGCCCACAAGACTAGAAAATACGCTGGACCTCATCTTCACTAACAATGACGATCTGATACGTAATATAACTGTATAAAAAACAATTCACTCAGATCACAATATAATAGAGGTACAGACATGTATGCACAGGGCTCCAGACCAACAAAATGTGAGCAGTCATGAAGGTCTCTTCACGAAATTCAATTTCAATAACAAAAACATACAATGGGATCAAGTAAACCATGCCCTAAATGAAACAAGCTGGGAAGATATCCTAAACAACACAGATCCAAACATCTGCCTTGAAAAAAGGAATTCTGTGGTTCTTGAGATCTGCTCAAGACACATTCCATCAAGAAAAAGAAAGAGAAGGTGTAAACTACAAAGAGAGAGACGTTCCCTATACAGACGAAGGCGAAGAGTCACAGAGCTGCTGAGTGGGGTCAGTATATCTGAAATATGAAGGGAGGCACTAGTCAATGAAATTGCAAATATCAAACTTAAGCTGAAGGAATCTTAGAGGAGACAAGAATCACAGGATGAACTAAAAGCCATAAAGGAAATTGAAAAAAAAACAAAATACTTCTTCTCTTATGCCAAATCTAAGGGAAAAACAACATTCAGTATTGGGCCCCTGCTTAGGCGGGATGGGACATACACAAATGATAGCCAAGAAATGAGTGAGATACAAAAGTCCCAATATGACTCAGTGTTTAGCGATCCACTGCACACTCTAAGGGTCGACAGTCCAAATGAATTCTTTATGAATGAAACCCAAAATTTGGTCATCCCAAAAATCTTGAATATTATTCTAACTCCACAAGACTTTGAAGAGGCAATTAATGACATGCCCATGCACTCTGCCCCAGGCCCAGACTCGTGGAACTCCGTGTTCATCAAGAATTGCAAGAAGCTTCTATTGCGTGCTTTCAGCATTTTATGGAGAGGGAGCATGGACACAGGGGTCATCCCACACACACTAAAAACAACAGACATAGCCCCACTCCACAAAAGGTGGCAGCAAAGCAATTGCAAAGAACTGCAGACTGATAGCACTAACATCCCATATCATAAAAATCTTTGAGAGGGTCCTAAGCAAGATAGCCAACCACCTAGATACCCATCAATTACACAACCCACAGCAACACGGGTTTAGAACAGGTCGGTCCTGCCTGTCCCAGCTGCTGGACCACTATGACACGGTCCTGGATGCTGTAGAGGATAAACAAAATGCAGATGTAGTATACACAGACTTTGCAAAAGCTTTCGACAAGTGTGACCATGGTGTAATAGCACACAAAATGCGGGATAAAGGAATAACGGGAAAAGTTGGTAGGTGCATCTACAACTTCCTGACAAATAGAACCCAAAGAGTAATAGTCAACAGAGTAAAGTCCCAGGCAGCCATGGTAAAATGCTCTATTCCACAAGCCACATTACTTGCTCCCATTCTATTCTTCATCCTCTTTTCTGACATAGAGATGTAAACCATAGCTCCGCATCTTCCTTTGTGGATGATACCCGGATCACCACGGCAGTGACCTCCATCAAAGACACTGCGAGACTCCAAGCGGACATCAACCAAATCTTCGAATGAGCCACTCAAAACAATATGAAGTTCAACAATGAGAAATTTCAACTACTCAGATATGGAAAACTTGAAGAAATTAAAAAGGTGTCAGGGTATACCACAAATTCTAACCATACAATAGGGCGGAAAAGTAATGTGAAGGACCTGGGAGTGATAATGTCAGAGGATCTAACCTTCAAAGACCACAACAATGTATCTACCTCATCCACTAGGAAAATTATAGGATGGATAATGAGAACCTTCAGAACTAGCGACGCCAAGCCTATGATGATTCTCTTCAAATCGCTTGTGCTCTCTAGGCTGGAATGCTGCTGTACACTAACGGCCCCCTTCAACGCTGGTGATATTGCAGACCTGGAGAGTGTACAGAGAACTTTCACGGCACACATAAGTGCGATAAGGCACCTAAACTACTGGGAATGGTTGAAGGTCCTTGATCTGTATTCCCTCGAACGCAGGCGAGAGAGATGCATGATAATATACACTTGGAAGGTCCTGGAGGGATTTGTACCAAACCTGCACACGAGAATAACTCCATATGAAAGCAAAAGACTCGGCAGGAGATGCAACATTTCCCCGATGGAAAGCAGGGGCGCCACAAGTACACTGAGAGACAACTCAGTAAGTGTCTGGGCACCCAAAACTGTTCAATTGCCTCCCAGCATACATAAGAGGGATTACCAATGGACCCCTGGCTCTCTTCAAGAAGGCACTGGACAGGCACGTAAAGTCAGTACCTGACCAACCGGGCTTTGGTTCGTACGTCAGCTTGTATGCGGCCAACAATAACAGCCTGGTTGATCAGACTCTGATGCATGATGAGGCCTGGTCTCAGACTGGGCCACGGGGGCATTGACCCCCGAAACCACTTGCGTCTGCAGACGCAAGTGCCTCGAGTCAGCACTGATCGCTGTTTCGAATACAATTAAACAAAACAACGGCAGCTTCACCATCTCCCAAGTCTTAGCAAGAATCCTCCTGAAAACAGTAAACCCTGCCATCACATAGTCTCGCCTGTTATACTACACAAAGCACATTACAGAGAGTGAACACTGAAACAAGCTGCCTCTTTCCAGTCTATATTTGTCCAACCTATTTTTGTTACCCACATAATAGCTTTTATATCCTTTTACTCATGTACGAATTAATTGCTCTACCATATTCTATTACTTTTGTCACTACTACTACTACCACTAGTGAACATCGAAATGGTACCTCACTAGTATTGCACCTCACTCTGAGCCTTTATATACCCTCTGTGTCCATGTATTGTTTGTAATGGCTTGATAAAGCTCCTGGAGAGCGAAACGTTGCCACAATAAAATGTCACATTAGTTGCACTTGTGTCCTTTTACTTTACATATTGTCGGTAATTCTACCAACTTCATTACACGACTAAAACATTGCCTAGTTCATCACTAGTAGGGGAAGTTATAAAATACTCTTATGTACTGTTTGCTAGAAACATTTAATATCATAGCACTGTTGAAAATATATCCTGTTCTTAAGTTAATTCTAAGCCTGCCCATAATGCTATGCATACAAGTGGCTTTGGCATGCTGCTCTTACCTGTATTTTTTGTACCTCTGTATGTATGTTCAAATTATTAAATAAATAAATAAATAAATAAATTGTGTATTTTTCAGGACTTGTGGAGTGTATAGTGGCAGCAGCCTCAGCACGGGTTGGCAAAAAAGTCCTGCACATTGATAAGTAAGTAGACAATTTTGAGTTGTGTGAGTGTTGATGGTGTGGCCAGTGTCATAAGCATACCGTTTACTTGTTTGTTATTACTTGTTGAAAACTCAAGGACCACAATGGAAATAAGTCAATTGATTTGACTTTTTGGGTTAGCTTAGGTAATTTACACTATGTATGATAATTGTACTTATGTGTACCTGTACCTAAATAAACTTAATAACTAACAGTGATAAAAATCTCTTGAAATATTTTTAAATTATAGATAGAAAATGGCTTTATTTGATTATCAGATTATGCAGAGTGACAATGATTTAAGTACATTTATTTACTGAATGACACCGAACTGATGATAAATAACTTAAAACAAAGAAAATGGCAAGACAAACCTTTATTACACCCTGTTTGACTTAGAGCCAATATATTAGGTTAATTATCCATCTATGTTTTCAGAGTTGAATTGCACTAGAGGTAGTCTGATGCATGAAATGTTCATATTAACAAAATAGCTTACACATTCATTGCTTGTGTGAAATTATGCAAGTGTGCTTTTGTTTTAACACTGCCATTTCCCAACAAGGTGTAGTGATCCAAAGAAGGAAACACATTCACCAGTAATCTAGTTCATGATGAATGGTTTGAAAAACTGACAAGTTGAAGATCGAGACACTTATGCAGCATATGGGAATCTTTATTCAGGAAACGTTTCGCCACACAGTGGCTTCATCAGTCCAATACAAAGAGGAAGGCGTAAGGAGAGGAGGAGTATGAGGTAATCAGTCCCTCAGCCTGGACTGCATAAGTGTCTCAATCTTCAATCTAGTTCATACATCTGCTATAGATGCTTCCCTGGTGTCTACTCTATTTCATGCTCCTCTTGTCCTCGTCAGTACTTTGGAGAACCTGGCCATTCTCTTTCTTACAGACACAAGGAGCACAAAAGTAGTGTTCGCCTTGCCAACACCAGTAGTGCTCTTTTCTGTCATGTTTGAGATTACAGGCATCCTATTGACTGGTCATCTACTAAAACTGTCTTCTCTACTTCTAACTTTCGCAGTCGCCGTCTTGTTGAATCATCCCTGTATACAACTTTCCTTGTACGAATCTTAGTCCTGGATTTATCTCTGTAGATGCCTTCCTTTCCCATTACATTGTCAAATGCTCCAAACTTCATAACACACGTGATTTAACCTGATACTTTTTCTCCTCTCTCTACCTCTTCTTCTTTCCTATGTTCCCTTTTTCTTGTTTTGGGTTTCTTTCTTCTGCCTTGGGTGTTCTGTACTTCACTCCCCCTCCCCCCATGTTTTGGTTTTACCCCTTGTGGGCCCTTAGCTCTCCTGCAGCACTCCTCTTTCTTGGCCTTTGACTGACTACTACAATTACTGCTGATGCTACTGCTGATACAACAACAACATTGGGTGTGTTTCCTTACACCTGTTGTTCCATCAGTAAAAGGGTACCTGGGTGTTAGTCGACTCATGTGGGTCACATCCTGGGACAGAATTGACCTAATTTTCCCCAAATGCTCATCTTCCAAGTCTTTCCCTATGAAAGCAAAAGACTCAGCAGACGATGCAACATCCCCCCAATGAAAAGCTAGGGTGCCATTAGTACAATAAGAGACAACACAATAAGTGTCAGGGGCCCAAGACTGTTCAACTGCTTTCCAGCATACATATAAACCCCTGGATGTCTTCAAGAAGGCACTGGACAGGCACCTAAAGTCAGTACCTGTCCAGCCAGGCTGTGGTTTGTACGTTGGGTTGGATGCAGCCAGTAGTAACAGCTTGGTTGATCAGGCCCTGATCCACTATGAGGCCTGGTCACAGATTGGGCCGCAGCAGCATTGACTCCCAAAACCTCTCCAGATATACTCCAGGTATAACAAGGGGCTTTCTATATAGTAGTATGTCATTGATGTCAGCTAGGCCTGTATACCTTGTACATTATTTGTAGAAATAAAGATCTTATTATTATTCTACCTTTGGTCCCTACCTTCACTTTTGCCTCCCTTTACCATTCACTCCCCCTTCTATTCTTGTCCCACTAACCACCAACTTTGTACTACCACTACTTCCTCTATTACCAGCCTTATCCCTGCCTGTTAGTGCGACTTTGCAAGCTCCTTTCTTCTATGTGGGTTATCTGTGTATCTCTGAGTTGTCATTTGAAAAGCATAAAGACATCATGCTTCAAAGGATTTTCCAAACCATGGCATTCAAACTGACCCTTTAGAGGGCAGGCATTGTACATCCCATTAATTTATGAGCTTTCCTAAATACCTTTATAGATTACTTTGCATTTTTAATGTTTCAGAAATGACTACTATGGTGGCCAATGGGCATCATTCACTCTGAAAGGACTTGAGCAGTGGGTTGAAGAGAACTCATCAGCAGCACAGCAAGAAACTGCTAAAGGTATAAAACATTTACAGTTATAAATTTTTGAAGATAAATCTTTTCATATGATAATCTTGGATCCAGTTACTGTAGTACAGTGGACCCTCGACCAACGATGGCATCGATTAACGATAAATCCGACCAGCGATACATTTTAACGCAAAAATTTTGCCTCGACTAGCGCTAAAAAACTCGACCAACACTATTCGTTCCGTCTGAGACGCGTCCACTTCTGACCAGTGTTTACAAGCCAGCCAGCCACCACGGTCGCTTCCAAGCATACAATCGGAGCATTTCATATTATCACAGCCTTTTTAGTGATTGCACCTGCAAAATAAGTCACCATGGGCCCCAAGAAAGCTTCTAGTGCCAACCCTACAGCAAAAAGGGTGAGATTTACTATGGATATGAAGAAAGAGATCATTGCTAAGTATGAAAGTGGAGTGCGTGTCTCCGAGCTGGCCAGGTTGTACACAAAACCCCTATCAACCATCGCTACTATTGTGGCCAAGAAAACGGCAATCAAGGAAGCTGTTCTTGCCAAAGGTGCAACTATGTTTTCGAAACTGAGATCGCAAGTGATAGAAGATGTTGAGAGACTGTTATTGGTGTGGATAAATGAAAAACAGATAGCATCTCTCAAGCGATCATATGTGAAAAGGCTAGGAAGTTGCATGAGGATTTAATTAAAAAAATGCCAGCAACTAGTGGTGATGTGAGTGAATTTAAGGCTAGCAAAGGTTGGTTTGAGAGATTTAAGAATCGTAGTGGCATACATAGTGTGATAAGGCATGGTGAGGCTGCCAGTTTGGACCAAAAAGCAGCTGAAAAATATGTGCAGGAATTCAAGGAGTACATAGACAGTGAAGAATTGAAACCTGAACAAGTGTTTAATTGTGACACTGACAATGTTGTGAAACACTTTAGGAATGTCATAAAGGAACGGGAGGTACAGGCTTCTATGGACAGATATGTTGTGCGACAGAGGTCCAGTGACTCTCAAGCTGGTCCTAGTGGCATTAAAAGAAGAAGGGAAGTAACCTCGAAAAAGGACTTGCCACCTCAAGTCCTAATGGAAGGGGATTCCCCTTCTAAACACCAACACCATCAACACTCCCCTCCTCCCATCCCATCAATCATCACCAGATCTTCAATAAAGGTAAGTGTCATGTAACTGTGCATGTCTTCTTCAGTTTGTGTGTATTAAAATTAATATTTCATGTGGTAAAAAAATTTTTTGTCAATACTTTTGGGTGTCTTGCACAGATTAATTTGATTAATATTATTTCTTATGGGGAAAATTAACTCGACTAATGATAATTTCGATTAACGATGAGCTCTCAGGAACGGATTAATATCGCTGGTCAAGGGTCTGGAGTTTATCTGGAGAGAGTTCCGGGGGTCAACGCCCCCGCGGCCCGGTCTGTGACCAGGCCTCCCTAGGTCAGTGTCCCAGGATGCGACCCACACCAGTCGACTAACACCCAGGTACCCATTTTACTGATGGGGAACATAGACAACAGGTGGAAAGAAACACGTCCAGTGTTTCTACTCTGGCTGGGAATCAAACCCAGGCCCTCACCGTGTGAAGCGAGAGCGTTAACCACCAGGCCACCAGAGCACTGTACTTTTTTTTTTTTTTTTTCCTTGTTTAGGGTATTAGACCAATACCCTGTATCATGAAACAGTACAATGCTACTATGTTGCTGTACTATACTGTCATTAATATTATTGTACTGCATTGCATTACATTGCATTACTGCTATACTACAACATAATACTACAGTACAGTTCAGTGGACCCCGGTTTTCGTCCTTAATCCATTTCAGAAGGACGGTCAGAATCCGAAATGGATGAAAACCGAAGTAATATTTCCAATAAGAAATAATGTAAATCCAAATAATCCATTCCAGACTAATAAAAAATATTAACAAAAAATACATTTATAGAGCATAACCATAGTTTTACATACAGAAAACAATGAGGAATATAAATGACTAATTTTAATGGGTAAATGAACATTTAAATCACTTTTACCTTTATTGAAGAGACTTATTGGCGTATGGAAGATGTGATGAATGGTTTTGAAAACCAACAAGTTGAAGAATTAATATACTTATGCAACAAATGGGAATCTTTATTGAAGAAACATTTCACCACATCAGTCTTATACAAAGCAGGAAGGAATAAGGAGAGGAGGAGTTTGAGGTAATCAGTCCCTCAGCCTGGAGTCGATGTGTTCAGTCCATCAGTATTGTAGAAAGTAAAGCACAGGGCCGTAGCAGTGGCTTATATACTGTAGTCAGGTGAGACGAAGAAGGAGGGGGAGGGGTCATAGTGGAAGAAGGAAGATGGAAGACGGTGAGAAGGGGAGAAGGAGGAGAGGTAATTGTTTGGAAGGGGAATTCCCCTCCATAAGGACTTCAGGTATCAAAACCCTATCCGAGGTTACTTCCCTTCTTTGTCTTTTACTGGCAGTAGGACCAGCTTGAGAGTCGCTGGACCCTGCAGACACGGCTTGCAACAACTTTGTTAGGGTGATATTTCTCCACCAACTCTTCCACATCCTAGCTACTCGATATTTAATGCGGCCCAGAGTCATATTATTACCATCAACAGACCATGTTCACTGAGTTTAATTGTTTCTAACAACTACCTTTAGATGCCATCATAAACAAAGGGAGAAGTAATGAATAATTCAGGCCGAGAATTGTAAATAAAAGCATTATGTGTTAACCTTTCAGGGTTTCGGCCGTACTAGTACGGCTTACGCGCCAGTGTCCATGACGTACTAGTACGCATAAATTCTAGCGCCTTCAAATTTAGTGAGAGAAAGCTGGTAGGCCTACATATGAAAGAATGGGTCTATGTGGTCAGTGTGCGCAGTATAAAAAATCCTGCAGCACACAGTGCATAATGAGAAAAAAAAAACTTTGACCGTGTTTTTGGATTAAAACAGCGACTTTGGACTATATTTTTGTGTGGTATTTATTGTTATATTCTAGTTTTCCTGGTCTCATTGTATAAAATGGAAGACATATTACAGAAATTGAGATGATTTTGACTGGTTTTACAATGAAAAGTACCTTGAAATTGAGCTCAAAGTAGCAGAAATGTTCGATTTTTACCAAAGTTCAAAATAAACAAATCACGCTAAGCGTCCAATACACGTCAACTGGTGAGTCTAATATTCTTTCACAAGTGCGCCGATGTTATTTATACCAATTCTACACCAATGCAGTAGTCTGCATAACAGTAAATCTTATTTTTTTTTTTTTTGTGAGAATAAAAATTCAAAGTGGAAAGCATAAGAAATATAAGAGGGGCCTGGGGATGTGACTGATGAACAGAAGAAATGTTATTTTAGTGCCAGGAATGTCTTTCTTGTTTATTCTGGACCCTATTTGGAAATTGGCATCTTTTGAAATTTGTGTGAAATTGGCAAAATTGCTAAATTCTGACCACTGTATTGGATAGTTGAAATCGGTAAATTCGTGGTTTCTTGTACTCATTCGATAGAAAAAATGGAGTTCTAGCGAAATAGTTATGATTTTTGTCGACTAGTACATTGGAATTGGCCGAAAATAGGGCTCAAAGTGGGCAAAATCGCCGATGCATAAACATCATCGAGACAGCTAACTTCGCGAGAGCATAATTCCGTAAGTTTTCCATCAAATTTCATACTTTTGGTGTCATTAGGATCGGGAAAATATTCTCTATCTATTCATAAGATTTTTTTTTTTTTTTTTTTTTTTTTTTTTTTTTTTTTTTTTTTTTTTTTTTAATTTGGGGGACCCTGAGAACGAGTCTCTGAGAGGGCCTGTGGACCCTGAAAAGGTTAAGGGCAGTGACTCGGCCAACGCAGATTCATACACGTTTTCTCTGATGCTGAACCAGAGAAAACATAATGTTTTCCCTCTGCCTGGCTAGCACACCTCCATACCTGGAGTTTACCTGGAGAGAGTTCCGGGGGTCAACGCCCCTGCGGCCCGGTCTGTGACCAGGCCTCCTGGTGGATCAGAGCATGATCAACCAGGCTGTTACTGCTGGCTGCACGCAAACCAACGTACGAGCCACAGCCCGGCATATAAACATTGCATGTTTATATGCTGTGTAATGTTAACATAACATAAGAAAGATGGAACACTGCAACAGGCCTACTGGCCTGTGCGAGGCAGCTCCATTTCTCCCACCAGCTTAAGCCAGTGCCTTGACCTAGTGAGGTCAGACACGTCACTTAAGGAAGGAGCACTGCATCCGACCTAGTAGCACAAGCTAGTCAAGTCCCACTCACACCCACCCACACCCACTCATGTATTTATCCATCCTATTTTTAAAACTACACAGGGTCTTAGTGCCTATGACGGTACTCGGGAGTTTGATCCACTCATCCACAACTCTATTACCAAACCAGTGCTTTCCTATATCCTCCCTGAATCTGAATTTTTCCAATTTAAAGCCATTGCTGCGAGTCCTGTGTATGTTAGATATTTTTAGTACACTATTTACATCCCCTTTATTAACCCTTTGAGGGTCGACAGGCCCTCTCCGAAACTCGTTCTCAGGGTAGGCCAAATTTCAAAAAAAAAAAAAATTATTTTTTCTTATGAAAAAATAGTTTTTTTTTCTAAACATTATAGGCTAAACCAAAAAATTTTACCGTCAATACTTACCAAGATATGGAGGCGTGAAGTTTGCCAAAATTGAACAACATCTGGTAACATCGCCGACTGCCGTCACCCGGTATTTTTCTATTTACTTTTTTATGTACTATTTTCAATTATTTTTAAATTTTTCTTTTTCTGAGTAACTTTTATGGCCTCTGGGGCCCAACATGATCAGTATTTTGTAAGTTTTTCTTTTTCAATACTACACAATAAGGGCATAAACACTGTTGTCTTATTTTTGTTTATAGAAAATTTTTTACCCCAAACAAACGTTTATGAAATGTTGCTTATTACTATTTTTCTTTATTTTATATACACATATACAGTCACGGGGAATGTTTCTAAAAGTTC